AATTGAGAAACTTAAAACCGATAACCGAACCAATTTGTCGGTTTCGGTTTCGGTCGAAACCGAAAATTCGGTTTCGGTCGGTTTCGGTTGGTTATCCAAAAGTTGTGCAGCCCTACTAACAACAATGAAACATAGTTTAACTAGGAGATCAAAACAGTCAAGTATTTTAGCAAAAGCTTAATTTCACGCAATGACAATCACAAACTTTGTTCTGCTTATACTCAGGTATAATTATCCCTAATCACAGTTCAACATCTTCTAAATAGAAAAATTCGACATGCTTATATTATTCTCCAGCAACTAACCAAGACCTTATAAATCAGTATAATTAGACATTATCGATAGGAAACCTGAATAATGCGAATAGATATCCGCACTATAAACCATATACATTGATATTCCAAATCAAAATTTGGACGTGTGGCACGTGGAGAAATTTCGAGCTGGCCTACATTTCGAATGACTAAGAATCCTTTACAAAATTAAACTGCAAGTTTGCAGATTTTAAAACCGGTTCCTATATATCCAGCTAAATTGATGATGACCTTCAGAAGTTCCAACTAAATCTAATATAAAGGGAGCAAAAGAGCTTGACTACCACTGGGGGTAAAATGTTGTACAGCTCCAAATGATCAAATTAAGATGTTTTTTTTTCCATAAATTAACCTAGTTTCATCAGAACATTGGAAAATTCAAGGCCTACAAAGAAATATAGGCCATTGCGCTATACCCAGTGAACATCAACAGAGTAAAGAAAACGATAGGGCACAGAATCAATCAAAAAAATTTGAATTGAAAAAATTAAAAAAAAAAAAATCACTCGACCAACAATCAGCAAACGATCAAAGCAATTAAAGATCCAAAGATTCAACTCAAAAACAGCTCATTTCTAAATAATAATAATAATAATAATAATAATAATAATAATAATAATAATAATTCTACTCAAATCAAAGAACCCAAAAGAGAGCAAGACTAACCTGAAGCCGATATCAAGCTATCGAGTCGATAATGGCTGCAAAAAAATGATCAACCAAACAACAAAAAAAAAGGAGAAAATAAAATTAGCCAAGTATCGTCTATCGGTCTATGGAGTGTAGATTAGACTTGCAGTTGTGTGTGGTTTACAGTTATCCAAATACGCAATTTTTCTAGGTTTTTCACAAAATGTGTTGCGATGGCCAAAAGGGGAATAGAGTTTGGTGACGAGAATATAATATAGCAAGAAAAATACAATGAATTAAAAAAAAAATGAAATGCTAACCAACATAAATAGATGTGCAGTGTAGAGTGTAGACGATAGTTGGTAAGCTTTGCTAGAGTTGATGAGAGTCTTGGGGTGTTGTATTTGACTGTACTTTTATTTGTGTTTTATTTTCCC